TGCCAAACCGGTTGTAAGTAACCTGCTCAAATACAGGTACCTGCAAATGGAGACTTATTATCAAACAACTGTAGTAGAAAAAGCTAGGTACACTACATACTGATAATTTCTCTTGAAGCTCAGAAAAAAATTAGCAGACATGTAAAGCTGGCCTGACAAGGTCAAGGCGTAAAAATGTGAATACAAATGTTTTTCTTAAATCAAGCTCTGGAAGTCTATGAGTAACAAGCTGCCACAGAGAAACAACTAAAATTAGGACTACACACATAGGTGTTTACGCAGCAAGCAGCTAGAACAGCCATAAATATAGGGCTGAAACACTTCAATGAGGTCTATCATAGTTTTTTCCACCATTAGCTCTATTTACAAATACTAACTAATAGAATATAAACCAACAATTTTGGGTGGACGGTAAACACCACCATTAGCTCTATTTACAAATACTAACTAATAGAATATAAACAGACACTTTTGGGTGGACTGTAAACATGAAAGTGTTATATCCTGTGTGCGATTAGATGCTTTAAGCAAGAGTTCAAAAAGTCCCTACAACAATATTAAAGGTGTTGTTCCACTTTTAAGAAATGGATCGATGTGTCAGATCCATGAAAAAGAATTAGATAACATTTGCAAGGCTAACCTATTTTTTGAAAGAGAAATTACCTTCTTGGCATGGATGTTTGGTAAGTGAGAATAAAATTCATCCCAAAACCAAATATCTCAATAGGCAAACATTCAACATCAGCTGAACACACACCGTAGCCGATGTAGAGCTGTTATTCTAAAAATGATGAAATCTCTTAATAGTAGCATGGAAAAGACATGGGATCTAATTTGCTTGCTATGAGGACTTGAGAGTGATGCCATGGTGCCTATGCTGACCAACATGGCAACACGTAAGTTATATAGAGATAACTTAGACATTACCAATTTCGAAGCATGATAAACTCAACCCCAAACATAAAATTTGAACAAGCTGGTAACAATAGTGACTACCTGCTTGGCTTGAAACAGATATGGTCCACCCAAAATAAAATACACTCAAGACAACCACCAAGTCGGATGAAGCAAATAGCTATGTGAGAACTAAGAGTTGTTCTAGATTTAAGCAGTAGCTAAGTACACATTAAAAATATCTATTGATTCAAAACGGTATGCACATGAAGAAACACCAGGAAACCTGCAGCCAAATTTGTAGCGAAAAGATGAGGACAGGCAACTAGGGTTTCCTGTAGCATAAGGCGCACAGTTCGTGTGCACATAGATCATTGTTTCGTCCGTTCATAGTGTGAGGGGAGCGAGCCTCCATGAAACGCCTGGAGAGGGAGATCCGCGAGGAAGAGGTAAGAGAGAGAGGGGGACCAAACCGAGGAGGGGACGATCGAGGACCAGGGGGAGCAGTGTTGTGGCGGGGGCAGCCACGCGCGCTGCTGTGAGGGGGCTTGTGGGCGCCAAGGCGTCGTGGTGAGGCGGCCACCATCGGGCCCGTCGTAGCTGTTGCAGCGGCAAGACGGCGATGCCATGCCGCCTGAGCCGTCTTGCAGAGACATGGAGGTGCCCGCGCCGGGGCCGGGCCGGTGCGCCACCACGTCGAGAGAGAGAGAGGTAGAGAGGGAGAAGGAGAGGGAGAGGGAGGGAGGGAGGCGGGCGGGGAGGGGCGTGGCGATGAAGCGGTGGAGGGCGCGGCCGCGAGAGGAGCGTGAGCGAGACGAGCGGGAGGGGAGGCCGGGCGTGGGAGGGAGCCCGTGTTTTTTTTCCTAGAAGGGGAGGCATCAATTTATTTGGGGTGAATTGGGGCGACGTGGCTTGCTGGTAGCCAAGCAAAGCAATTTCGGGCGACGTGGCTCATTGCCTGAATTCAGGGTGATGTGGCCGCTGTGAAAAACCAGGGGAAAACATGGGTTTGTAGGGGTTAATGTCGTTCTACCTTTATTTTAGTACATAGTTTTTTTTGCTCTACACCTAAATATAAAATTATGTTTAGATATATAATATAATAAAATATTAAAAATCAGAATGACTTACAATTTAAAATGGAGGGAGTAGGTATTAGCTCATGGAACCCAAAGTTGTTTGACCTTGAAGGGTTGCATAGAGCATCTCTATCAGATATCGTTCAATCTCCTATACCTAACAAATAGTGCTTTAGAAGATAGAGGAGTTGTAGCAAATCTCTTATCTCATCTCTTATGCCTATATTTTTTTTAAAAAAAAATCTTGTAAAATAAGCATCCTCACTCTAAATAAAAGAGACAACCCCCTCTCCTCTATCGTAAAGAAATATAGATGACAAATTTTACATAATCTGCTGCAGCAATACTCTTCTATATGTTAAATTGATGTTAGAATATATTCTCCTAAAGCAACTTATATAGGGTACTCTAAGACTGACTCCAACGGAGTAGGCATAGCATGATCCAAACCCAAAATGGGTTCTTCAGAGTGTTTTATCCGCACAAAACAAGCTCCAACAGACTAGGCAAACGAGTGACCCATTATGGGTGGGAGCCGACGCGGGACGCAAATAAGCATCATCTCTCCGTCCTTATGCGTCTCCACGTAGGCGCTAGGCCCACCACCACGAAGGAAGAGGACGACCGGAGCCCGGCCCGGCGAGAGCAGCGCCTCGGGGTCGCAGCACCGGAGCCGACTCAATGCGGATCGGAGCTAAGGAAGGGGGTCACAGGTGCCACTCCGGCGGACCGCAGGGCCACGCCGCCAGTGCCGCTCCGCCGGCGAGGGGAAGAGAGGGCGGCCAGATCTCGCGCCGGAGCTCGCAGCTCGGTGGCCTCGCCCGCGGCATTGCTCTGCACGCGGCGGCGCTCGCGAGGCAGTGGACAAAGGGGCCGCGCCGCAAAGGGGCCTGCACCGGGGATGTTGCCGGAGCTCGTCCGCGCAAAGGGGAGCCGCACCTCGCCGGATCTCGCGCCGGAGCTCGCAGCTCGGTGGCCGGCCGTGGGGAAGACGAAGACGGAGGAGCAGGCAACACCGGGTGGAAGAGGAGGAGGTCGTCATCGCGGAGGTGCGCACCGGCACGGCGAGGCGGGTCCGCGGCAGGGGAGTCGCCGACAAGGCGAGGCGGGTCTGTGGCAGCGCGCGCGCCGGGCGGCGCTCGGCTGGGCGATGTTCTGGGCTTCACGTTTGCATCGGCCGTTGGAAAAGGGAAGTTTTGGGTCCATGATCCTTTCGCTGTGCGCTACCCAAACCATCGAATACATCTCGTTTTTTTGGTCCGGGGCTGTTGAAGACAGTCTAACTACCATTTTTTTGTGCTATCTTGCTATCTACTGCTCCGCTGGAAGAAGATCATACAGAATCGGTAACCCAAAACCAATTCTCTCTTGCAGCCAAAACACACACTCTCTCTCCCAAGTTCGTACGGGGAATTTGCTGCAACAGTAGACTATAAAAACAAAAAAGTCCAGGTTAAAAACGACTCACACACGGGGATTGTATCTAGGGGTGGATCCAAGATCAGAACCCTGGTTGAGATACACATGATAGTGCTACAATTAGACTACTAGAGCCTTATATTTCGTTCAGCCTGTTCGATGGTTGGTTTCTGGGCTGATAATCTCGGCTGGTGCTGGTTTATTGTGAAAGAAAAATATTGTTTAGATAGAAATGATTTACTATTGATTTGTTTAATCAAGGACCTGGGCTGCAGCACAGCCGGCCGGGCCTGTGTCCGCCACTGCTTGTATCTAAAAAGAATGTGACTCTCACTTTCCTATAAGTCAAATAATATGAAATTTAATTAAATTTATAAAAAATACTACTCCATTCATCCTACTGTATAATACATTCCAAAAACTTTAAGACATCGTAAGAGAACACTCTAGTATGTACCCATGGATTAAACCAAATTAAGGAGTTTCTCCTTACATTATGGTTTTTTTTAACAAACTTTGGCCTTGTTTAGGTGGCGATTTTTTTTGGAAAATGGTACTGTAGCACTTTCGTTGTTATTTGGCAATTAGTGTCCAATCATAGTCTAATTAGGCTTAAAAGATTCGTCTCGTGAATTTTGTCTAAACTGTGTAATTAGTTTTATTTTTTATTTATATTTAATGCTTCATGCATGCGTCTAAAGATTCGATGTGAGGGGAAATCTTGAAAAATTTTGCAAAATTTTGGGAACTAAGCAGCACCTTTGCCAAATCCGGATGCAACATGGATTGCATTATATTTCTGTATAAATTTTAAAATTTATAAAGCACTGTACTACCGGACGATGGGAGTAACATTTAGGATATGAAATAAATACAATTAGATTAATTATAAATATATTTCTATAGTAAAATTATTTGGAGACATAAGAGTTACTATTTTCTATCACGGTATTCCGAATTACAAGTTGTTTTGCTTTTCTAGATACATTGTTTTTATCTAGACATACGTTATGTATATATGTATGATAAAAACTATGAATATGAATCTTGCAGAATGACTTATAATAGACTATGAATTTAGAAAAGGCAAAACTTAAATAGAGGAGTATAAATTTGGTTAAACTTAAAGACCTGTACTGAATTGATATAAAATAAATATTTTTTTTGGCACGCTTCTCTCTCTCTCTCTCTCTCTCTGAGGTTCGTACTAAAGTTCCAATTTTGAAAGCGCCGGGATCCCCTCTCCTTCAGGTGTGGGGCTACCAGCACGGGCCCAGTGGGCAACGGCTCGTCCCCCACCTCCCGCTCCTCCTCCTTCCCTCCACCTCCGCTCCACTCCACCATGCTCCCAATCAGTCAACCCCCCAGCGAATCAATGAAATGAACCAACCAAATCCAAACAAAACCGCACGCAAAACAGAGCAAGCCCACGCCCAGACCTGACGCTCGCCCGTGCCCACTGGCTTCCCCCAAAAGGCCAATGCAGCACAGCGGGCAGCGGCAGCAGAGAGTGCGACGGCCTGCACTGACGGGATGCAGTTGCAGTGACTGAGCCTCAGCCGCGAGGTGCGCTCTCTCGGTCTCTCCCGATCTGCCAGCCAGCCAGCCATGGCCGCGGAGAGCTGCCACCCGCGCGGCCTGTCGTGGTTCGCCAGATCCTGCATCCCCGCCGACCCCGCCCGCCACACCGCCGTCCCGGTCCCCATCCCCGCCTCGGCCCCCGACGCCGATGTTCCCGACCCCGAGACGGAGCCCCCCATCGCGGCGCTCCCCGACGAGCTCCTGCTCGAGATCCTCGCCCGCGTGCCCCGCGCCTCGCTCCCGCCGCTCCCCGCCGTGTGCCGCCGCATCGCCTCCCTCCTCGCGTCCCAGGCATTCCTCCACCTCCGCCGCGCGCGCGGCCGCCTCCGCCCCTGCCTCCTCGCCGTCTCCTCGTCCTCCCGCGCGCTGCTCCTCCAGCTCCACGCCTCCCCCTCCTCCTGCTCGCTCGACATCGCTGCGCTTCCCCTTCTCCTGCGGTGGGGCGACACGTGTACCTGGTCGGCCGCGGCGCCACGCTGCGGGTGGACCCGCTGACGGGCGCGGCGAGAGCGTGCGCGCCCACGCTGTTCCCTCGGAGCAAGTTCGCGGCGGCCGCCGTGGGCGCACGGATCTACGTCGCGGGCGGGTCCGCGCGCACCGCCGCGGTCGAGGAGTACGACCCGGCCGCCGACGCGTGGCGCGTCGTCGCGGAGGCACCCCGCCGGAGGTACGGCTGCGCGGGCGCCGGCGCCGGCGGCGTGTTCTACGTCGCCGGAGGTGTCGCCGTGGGAGGACGAGGGGCGTCGGCGGCGCTGGTGGAGGCGCACGCGTGGGCTGGGTCGGTGGACGCGCTGCACGTGGCGTCGGGCGCCTGGGCGTGGGCGCGCCCGCGGGCCGTGCCCGGCGGCGGCTGCGTCGTGGGCGCGTGCGGCGCCGGGGACGGACACCTCTACGTGGTGGCCAGCCACGCGGTCGACCTCTCCTTCTGGCGGTGGCACGGCGGCGGCGGCAGGGGATCCGGCGGCGGCGGGTGGGTGGCGCTCGAGGCGCCGCCCGTGCCCCGCGGCGCCGTGGGGCTGGGCGTGGCGGTGCGCGTGGCCATGGCCGGCGTGGGCGCCGACCGCGTGGCGGCGGTCGTCAACGTGGCCGCCGTCAGGGGCCACGCCGCCGCCGCCGCGGCCTCGGGCGGCGCCGTGGAAGGGCTGGTGCTGGTGTACGACATCGGCGGTGGCAGGTGGAGCCGCGCGCCCGACCTGCCGCCCGGGTTCCGGCGCGCCGCGTGCGCCGCCGTCGAGTGCTGACACGGTGGCGCCGTTGGTTGGGACGATGATGGCGTGTCCAAGAAGAGTTGACTGGCATTGTAGGGAGGTTTTTGTTGGATTGATGAGATGTGAAGCAACGTCGTCGGCATCGTGGGGATTGCTGTTGGGAAATCGATTGCTGCTCCGTGCGTTTTCTCTTGGTGCTGCTCTTGAGTCTTGACCCACGGGTAGCTTGATCTGTAGTTGTACTTGGTTGGCCATGTCTGTGCTGGGCGAGCTCTTTCTTTCCTTGCATTCTGCTTCTGCAGCACGCTTGGAATCTTGAAATGGTCGCGTTCAAGGTTCAACTACAGCTCGTTCGATCTTCTTGTACAGACCCGGGTGAGGGCTGGGGCCTGGGAGCAGCAGGTCTGCACTCGGCAGTGGTGGACACAGGATGCAAACCATCGTGCCGGGCATCGACGGCGCCGTCACGGATGCGCTGTACCCCGGCGACGGCCCGTGCGCCATCTGCCTCGGCTGGCACGGGCGGGTGCGCGTGCGCGCACAGCTTCCACGCGGCCTGCGCCGACCTGCGCCGTGCCGTCGCCGCTCGAGGAGGCCGACCGTGCTCTGCATCGCATCGCAACTGCACGGTGCACGCGCGCGGTTACGCACGCAAGTGGTGTGCAGGATCCGAAACGGGAACGTAGCAGACTCCCAGCCGCCTCACCCATCCCAGCAAGAAAACGGACATTCCACATGCCTGCAGCTATCGAGCCATTGGAATTTGGATCTGAAAGCCGAAACAACTTTAAGGAACGATCGGAGCTTACTTGTTTGTCCGGTGGATTTCGTAATAAGAAATTAAACGGCCATGGAAGTTCCAAGCAAAGCCTGTGTGTACATTTTGCAGTTCTACTTCTACTCGGAGCATTTTCTTTTTCATACATTCATTCACGCTGCTGCTGCTGAAACTATCAGCTTTTCACCACAAACTTAAATCATTCTTCTGTTTGTGTATCGTAGAGATGGACAACAATGCTTTTCCATTGCTTAATTGTAAGGTTCGTATTTACGCCGTGTTTAGTTGGATCCCAAAGTCCAAAAAGTTGCTACAGTACCTGTCACATCGAATGTTTGCGGCCCGTGCATGGAGTATTAAATGTAGACGAAAATAAAAACTAATTGCACAGTTTGGTGGAAAATTGCGAGACGAACGTTTTGAGCCTAATTAGTCCATGTTTAAACACTATTTGCCAAATAAAAACGAACGTGCTACAGTAGCCCCAAAATCCAAATTCACCCAACTAAACAAGGGCTTACATTCTTATATAAAATGCTTTTATGCAAAACCAAATGCAATTAATCCTCGCTAATGGACCAAATGCATGCTCCTTTGTATCTATATTGGGTAACTCCTGCACAGTACATTTGTACACCCACCCTGTAGTTGTTTAAGTCTTGCAGGTAATGTAGCCCTAGGCTATGGATTCTTCTATAGCCCCTGAGTCTGCCGTGGATTGGGAGTGGTAGAAGAATGTTGTTGCGTAGATGTGTGGATGATGGCACAGTCCGCACATTATATCTTAAAACTATGTTATTTTCAAAAGACTTCCGCTCACACTTTGGATGAATCTAATGCGTGATGATTAAGTTTGGAACAACTTGTTGTAAACCTAACGTACTTCTTTTTAATATAATGTGAACTACCTGTGTGTTGTAATAATTCCTTTCTATCCGCGTGATCCTGGATAAAGGTTGGTTCGGTACATCATATGGGTGGTGTACCAGAATGATCGATTAAGTTGTTTATCTAACTAATCTATTCAATGGAAGACTATTTAGTTTGGTAATCTACTTAAAAGGGAGGTGATCTTGACAGGTGCCTCGCTCGTCCACCAAGAGCGGGACCTGTGCTCACGCCTCTGTCGGTGCTGTATGTCACATCGGGGTGTCATATGAGAGTGTTCAGATAATAATAATAAAACAAATTATATAAGTCATCAGTAATCCACGAGACAAATTTATTAAACCTAATTAATTCGCCATTAGCACATATATTACTGTAGCACCACATTGTCAAATCATGGGCTAATTAGGTTTAAAAAATTCATCTCGCAAATTAGTCGCAATCTGTGTAATTAGTTATTTTTAGTCTATGTTTAATACTCTATGCATGTGTCTAAACATCCGATGTAATAGGGAGTAAACTTTAGGGGAGGAAGTAAACAATGCCTGAATTCGACAAACACATGGGCCAGATGCTCGGCACGCTGCCACTGTCATACCTATGATTGGTCGCCACCGAGCTCAGCTACGGGGACACCACGCCCTAGGCGGGCCTCGTGCATTACATCCTCGATGACTTCATCTACACGTCGTCCGTGTCGAGTGGGAGCACACGAACCGCTTCCTTTAGGGCAACGTCGCCGACAGCTACAACTACGCCTATGATGGCGACGATGACGATGATGGGCCTCTCGTGGAGATGGATCAGCACTTTTGGTGGGATCTCTGCAACGACGAGGGGGTGGAGCTGCCTCGATTTCTGCCTCCTTAGCACATCCTATAGTGCCAAACATAGGTTTTCCCCGGTCGGTCCATCCCTCAGGAGCAACCGTGTCAGATATGTTCCAGAGGGCAACCACCACCTGGGCGTACGCTTACCACGACCGGCCTAGGATAGACTTGCTGGGCCGATACTGGTGTGAGGTTGCACCTGACAAAGCTGAAGCCGATGTTGTTAGCCAACGCTTCCCGCCAGAGACAGATCTAGCGGTGGGGCGGGGGGCTCAAGCCCCCCCCCCCTACCGCCGCTAACCCCTTAGAGCTCCCTTAGAGTATCTTCATGAATTTTTGCCATGCCTTTGAGGAGACACCGAAGGTTGAAGATAAACTATATCCGTCCCTACTTACCGCCCCTGTGCCGTGAATGCTCCCTGGGCGTCCGAGATGGAGTGCAGGTGGCAGCTCTGGGCCAGCAAACAACACACAAACATAGACATGTATATCAGATGTTTGGTAGGTACATAGTATATTTTGTCCCGGACCCTCTAGCTAGCCAAGGCTGATAAGCCATGGCTGAAAGTACTGTTGACTGATTTGTTGTGAGAGAAAAATATATTTCGTTGATTGAAAAAGTACGGCTTATAAGCCAAACGAACATTGCAAAACACAGAGGTGAGAAGTATGATAAATTAATTGAAGTCCGTATATACCTCGAAAAAGGCTTTGCCATTGCTCAATATAAAATCAATGGCACCTTCTACGTAGAAGGCCGCTTTGTCCCCATCAACTCTCGCAGCAACCCCCTGGTGACTCTTCACCCACGTGTTTTGCATGCATGCACACGTGCGACAATGAGTACTAAGTACCAAGTTATGCATGCATTATCCTTATTAATTTAATTTTATTTAAGTGTGATGCATGAGAGCAGAAGCATGCACAACAACACAGCTGAAATATTATGTGCCTTGCGACGAAGTCAGAGGCTTGGACTTGCATTGCACGAAGAGAGCAAACTCATGCAGGCTGGTGTTAGTCCAGCCGCTCCAGGTAACAACGATGGAGGTGGCGCTCGTGCCCGTACATGCCCGACAGAGAAACTCCACTCTTGTTCACCATCACCTTCTTCCTGCATGCATATACAATAAATTAATATTCCAACGTGTCCACTCTAGGGCTCCACTCACTACTACATATTTGGACATCACTGTCGGCCTCATCACTGTCGAATTTGTGAGAACCGGCAGCTATGTACCTTCATTGCCGGTTCTGAGCTTGAAAATGAGAAAATGATTGGGGTTGGGCTAAAACCGGCAGTGAAAGACCACATCACTGCCGGTTTGTGGCTTGCACCGGCAGTGAGTTGGCGGCCACTTATCACTGCCGGTTCTGACCAAGAGCCAATAGTGATATGGTGCTATCACCGTTGGTTCGAGCCAAAAACGGACGGTGATAAAATAGCAGTAGAAAAAGCTAGCGCCGTCCTCTCCATCCTCCTCTCTTTCGTCCCGAGCACAGAGGCGTGCGTTTGGGTCGCTCCCTCCATTGTTGCGTCTGCTCTTCACCGTGATGCTAGCTCTTGGATTTGGAAGAATGACTTGATCTTTTTGCTTTAAAGTTAATAACAAGCATCAACTTCTTTGATTTTGTTGCTTAATTAGCGTTGTTTTGATGGCTACATTGCTTGATTTTCATTCTAGTTCTTTCTCCATTCTAGAGAGCACTTTTTTAATTGGACTTTGTGCAAGGCTTGCAAGCAAATTGTGGTGAATCCATCATCCAAAAGGTTGGTGTATTTGAACACATTTAAAATCCTAGCTAATTACATAGTGGTCAAGATCATTGTTAGTATGTGATGATATAATTAGTTCTTAATAAAAGTAGAGTAGATTCTTTTACAATTTTGATGAGCAAATTAATCCATGTGTCACCTACCAACATATTATTTGGAGCTATATTGTTGTTCATGGTCATGTCTCCAAATTTAGTCTTATTTTAAAAATTAGTGTCTCCATTTTTACGTGGCATCGAGTAGAATAAGTATTCTTCATTATTGTGCAATAATTGTTTTTATGGGGCTATGATTTTCAATTTATATGGTCGGGCTACCAATTTTAATTTTTCAATAATTAGTGTACAATAATGTTTTCTAAAAATGGGGTGACTAAATTAAATAAGTATAGAATAAATGGTACTTTCGAGTTACAATTGTTGTTCATGAAGCTCGACTTCTTATTAATTTATCTGTAACTACTGTCTCAATATTTTTTTGTGCAGAGATGGATCGAGAGTGGATGCATCTGTTCCGAACGGACAAACGGTACATGCATAGCGTCAGCCAGTTTATCACCAATGCCAAAGCCCAATGTAGAAATGAGAACCTTGTCTTCTGTCCATGCAAAGATTGCATGAATCAAAGGAAAATAGGCTCAAATTGAGTATGTACAAATGCACTTATTACCAGGGGTTCATACCAAACTATACGATATGGACTATGCATGGCGAGGTTGGTGTGAATGTTCCGCAGGAAAACGAGGATGATGTGGCCATGC